CGATCATCACTGGACAGCACTTGGAAGTCTATGTCACCTCCACTGTGTTTCCAAACACATGTTAATTGGTTGGTCAAATCGTACGAATGGGACATTTGTTCGACATTAAATAAAGTGATTTTTATAATTATACATGTTTTATACAGAAGAGAGTTAATACAAAGCGCAAGAACATATTAGAGATTTGACTGATGATAATTATATTTGTATTGAAGGTAAGACCGTGGATTCTGAATATAAACACACGAGAAATATGTCTGGTGATAATTATACTTGTATTGAGGGTAAAACCGTGGATTCTGAATATTTACACATGAGAAATATGACTGGTGATAATTATATTTGTATTTAAGGTAAAACGTAGATTCTGAATATGTAATAGTGTCAAAAATGACAAAACTGCTGACATTTCGTATCATCAGTTTATTGTGTTATACACAAAAAGTACCCAAAAAATAAGAGGCATACCTTAAACACTCATACTTTTCCAAGGGACAAAACTCTCTTTCACACTAAGTGCAATATACATGTATACCAATTACAGAGCAGGTACTTAATATAATTATATACTTTACAAATCTAATTACATTAATGATAATCATCTAAATGTTGAACTTATACTTATCTTTACAGTGTTATGGTATATCAAGCTCCTTAATTACATTATTTTAAGAAAATACATATTTAGTACATTGTACATGTATAACATAACTCGCCCTACATATGATGCAGAGGTACGTGGAGTACAATTTTGAATTACACTTTCATTCCTATTAATCTGTTCTACAAATCAATAATAACCACAATTAGATCTTTACTCTCTACACACTGCATACAAACAATAGTACCTAAAAAGAACATAAAATAAGAATCTATAGTGGCAACTTGTAAATAGAGCTACATGTACATTTATATATATAGATATTAACCACTACATTATCCTACTTTCAAAGATAATAGTTATAGAACATAATATACTCAATTTATTGTTACATATGGAAGACAATAAATTACTTGAAATACAAAATATTATACAATATTGGAAAGAATACTTACTTACCAATAATACTGGTGTAGAATTAATACCAAGCTATTCAAATCTCTCTGAGATACTAATAACCAGCCGTCCCCTCCAAAACCCAAACCTGTACCGCCCGACAAATCCAAACTTTCCAGTAAAAATCATGCCTAACCTTTCTTGTGTTCTGCCCAATCAAAATTACTTACCCCGGGTCAGTGGACAGGTCAGTCACAGTCAGTCTGTTCCATTACCATATATGGAAATGTCTTACCTGAACACTTTTCACTATATACCTAACCAAACCATTAAGGATACATGTCTAATGATTTTCTAAAATACTATATTTACTATCTACATTGCTCGATATATGAATTAATTAAATTATACTTATATCTGAATCATATCAGATATTACAATACATTTAACAATAAAAAAGATACATAATCTGACCCATGTCAGCAAATACAATGGTATACAACATAACTTTAACAAACATTCAATAAAAGCAATAATTCAAATAATCCACACCCTGTCACAAATATAACCACACGAGAAATATGACTGGTGATAATTATACTTGTATTGAGGGTGAGACCGTGGATTCTGAATATTTACACACGAGAAATATGACTGGTGATAATTATACTTGTATTGAGGGTGAGACCGTGGATTCTGAATATTTACACACGAGAAATATGACTGGTGATAATTATACTTGTATTGAGGGTGAGACCGTGGATTCTGAATATTTACACACGAGAAATATGACTGGTGATAATTATACTTGTATTGAAGCTGAGACCGTGGATTCTGAATATTTACACACGAGAAATATGACTGGTGATAATTATACTTGTATTGAGGGTGAGACCGTGGATTCTGAATATTTACACACGAGAAATATGACTGGTGATAATTATACTTGTATTGAGGGTGAGACCGTGGATTCTGAATATTTACACACGAGAAATATGACTGGTGACAATTATACTTGTATTGAGGGTGAGACCGTGGATTCTGAATATTTACACACGAGAAATATGACTGGTGATAATTATACTTGTATTGAGGGTGAGACCGTGGATTCTGAATATTTACACACGAGAAATATGACTGGTGATAATTATACTTGTATTGAGGGTGAGACCGTGGATTCTGAATATTTACACACGAGAAATATGACTGGTGATAATTATACTTGTATTGAGGGTGAGACCGTGGATTCTGAATATTTACACACGAGAAATATGACTGGTGATAATTATACTTACACACGAGAAATTGACTGGTGTACCGTGGATTTGAATATTTACACAAGCTGAGACCGTGGATTCTGAATATTTACACACGAGAAATATGACTGGTGATAATTATACTTGGTGATAATTATACTTGTATTGAGGGTGAGACCGTGGATTCTGAATATTTACACACGAGAAATATGACTGGTGATAATTATACTTGTATTGAGGGTGAGACCGTGGATTCTGAATATTTACACACGAGAAATATGACTGGTGATAATTATACTTGTATTGAAGCTGAGACCGTGGATTCTGAATATTTACACACGAGAAATATGACTGGTGATAATTATACTTGTATTGAGGGTGAGACCGTGGATTCTGAATATTTACACACGAGAAATATGACTGGTGATAATTATACTTGTATTGAGGGTGAGATTCTGAATATTACACACGAGAAATATGACTGGTGATAATTATACTTGTATTGAGGGTGAGACCGTGGATTCTGAATATTTACACACGAGAAATATGACTGGTGATAATTATACTTGTATTGAGGGTGAGACCGTGGATTCTGAATATTTACACACGAGAAATATGACTGGTGATAATTATACTTGTATTGAAGCTGAGACCGTGGATTCTGAATATTTACACACGAGAAATATGACTGGTGATAATTATACTTGGATTGAGGGTGAGACCGTGGATTCTGAATATTTACACACGAGAAATATGACTGGTGATAATTATACTTGTATTGAGGGTGAGACCGTGGATTCTGAATATTTACACACGAGAAATATGACTGGTGATAATTATACTTGTATTGAGGGTGAGACCGTGGATTCTGAATATTTACACACGAGAAATATGACTGGTGATAATTATACTTGTATTGAAGCTGATTTACACACGTGGATTCTGAATATTTACACACGAGAAATATGACTGGTGATAATTATACTTGTATTGAGGGTGAGACCGTGGATTCTGAATATTTACACACGAGAAATATGACTGGTGATAATTATACTTGTATTGAAGCTGAGAATATTTACACACGTGGATTCTGAATATTTACACACGAGAAATATGACTGGTATTATACTTGTATTGAGGGTGAGACCGTGGATTCTGAATATTTACACACGAGAAATATGACTGGTGATAATTATACTTGTATTGAAGCTGAGACCGTGGATTCTGAATATTTACACACGAGAAATATGACTGGTGATAATTATACTTGTATTGAGGGTGAGACCGTGGATTCTGAATATTTACACACGAGAAATATGACTGGTGATAATTATACTTGTATTGAAGCTGAGACCGTGGATTCTGAATATTTACACACGAGAAATATGACTGGTGATAATTATACTTGTATTGAAGCTGAGACCGTGGATTCTGAATATTTACACACGAGAAATATGACTGGTGATAATTATACTTGTATTGAAGCTGAGACCGTGGATTCTGAATATTTACACACGAGAAATATGACTGGTGATAATTATACTTGTATTGAGGGTGAGACCGTGGATTCTGAATATTTACACACGAGAAATATGACTGGTGATAATTATACTTGTATTGAGGGTGAGACCGTGGCTTCTGAATATAACCACACGAGAAATATGACTGATGATAATTATACTTGTGTTGAAGGTAAGACCGTGGATTCTTAATTCGTTATTTTCCTGTACCTGTGGATCTTCTAGTACAGATATCCGTCAGTTCTTCTTCGTATGTCCTATTTAAAGAAGTGCGAGCAAAATTTGAATAACGTTTAAAATATAGTATATAGTTTATAGTATATGTTTAGATTAATTACCAACTGGTAAACATGACGTATACATAAGTATATATAAAATACATCAATGTTTGATTCTGAAGTGTGCAAAACTTAAAGACCAGCGGTAGGTTTAATAAGTGATATTTATGAGACTTTTGGATTTTTTTCCTCTATTGTTTTCATATGGCTTACAACCCAGTTTTAAGTTAAGTTAAATAATGGACACATATTCTTTATTGATGTCCCATTCTTTCTTTCTTTCTTTTTCGTTTTCGTTATCGCCAGAACGAGATTTTACAGGCTGTGAAACGATTTATTTATGCTTGATAATGTAACAACAGTTTGTTAAACTCTGATAATAAAACTAACTTAATAACTCCGTCTATATCAGCATTTCAACAAAACCTGCTAACGATCTCTTCGAGTTATCTTTCTTAATAGAGTTCTACTACTGGCGTCGTTAGCAACCACCCCGAACGAATCAATCCGCGACGATATATAAAATTGTCATTATATGAACTTTTTAAAAATCTAAATTGTTTATTAACTTAATTGTTTTTATTTTAATGTGATCATATCATAATTCTCTGTGATAGATAGTCAGTAGGTGTGTACTTATTGTTTCTAAGGGACTAAGTTTTACCTGTATAGGCGGAAGGATATATGTACAGTGGTCCAATGTGTGCATTACCTGATATGGGTATGTACATAAGATAAGAGCTAAACGTATAGAACTGTGTGTTATTGGGACATACTTGGATGTGTTAGTGAAAGTATGACAGCTTTTTAGAACTGTCCCGACGAAAAGGTCCAAACTAAAGGAATAACTACAGTATCATGCTTTCTCCTCACAGTTAATTATTTTTTATTGAATAGGTGAGAGTGCTAATTAGTGATTGTGTCCAGGTGTAAACCTGACAGGTGAGACATGGGTCGCGGACGTAGGTTTGCTCCCTCCTCGGCCAAGGAAGGAATCTGGGTAAGTTTCTTTTTTATATATTATATGTATTTTATAACTTAAACTATACTGTTACCTATGTATTTCATTTACACACCAATATCGTTATCTCAAACAGAGGGTTTCCTATGTTCTGATATACACAGTTTTAAGTTAAATCCCTTACGGTCTAGTTGCCATCAGAAGGAATTAGAAAATACATAAGAAACTCCATGATGTATTTAAACTTCACTGTGGTTCTATATCACTGTAGTTAACATATATCAGCATTGAAAACATTTTAGAGGTTATATACCTATATTAAATAGTAACAGTGTGTCGAGATCCACATTTCATTGAAAGTGCAATTAAGTTTGTTTAATATAGCGTTTAATAATATCAAGCATTCACGATATTTGTTTGATTAAAATTTGTTGGAATTGATAAAATTCAGATAAGTGTACAGCATACCGGTATACACATATAAGTCAGCAACATATACGTGATTTTAACGTTAGAAACACTGCACGCGCTCAGACGTTTTAAGGCTGTCGTACAGGAATACTATATATATACACGTGGTAACTGGATTCCAATAAAAAGACACTGGTCGCGACAAATACAACGGGTCCTATTAATACTTCATTATCTTATTAACAATGTTAGTGGTATAGTCTGCTAATTGAATACGGTGTGTGCTATCTAAGGGCAATGATAATCTATGCGACAGGTCGTTTAAAAAATGCAGATACCTAGAATGTAGTTTATGAATGGTGCTAAAAGGTGTCTAACCCGTGTGCACAGAAAGTGTAGAAATATAGAAATATTATACTCATGGGACTGATGAAGTCTCTGAGTCAATTATCTATGTTTACTTTATTTGTTTTGTGTCGCTGCAATATTTGGAAATTACATTTAAACTAAGCCTGTGCACAGATATAATACACATCCCATTTATCTCCCCACGCGCGTACCTGTAGTTACACCGGAAAAATCTCCAACACATACCTGTATACATGTAAACACTCTTCTATTTACTGAACATGTCTTGTTACTATACATTTCATTTAAATTTCTAAAATTCACAGTGTAATACTTGTACAACCCCACAACTTCTGGATAGATAACTAGACAATTTAAATCCCGGTTATTTTCGAGATGTCATGTAAAACAGTCAAGTTATCAATTACAGGCGTGTAATGTGTCAAGTTCACAAGTAGTTTTATGTTACTGATCCAAAAGTTTAAAAAAAGTGATGATAATCTTCGGGTTCTGAAATATTGTAATGGACACATATTACTGGTATTATCTATGGCATTACGAGGTATGTTTGGTGATCTTAGCTCTGGTGAGGTGAGGGGGGGGTGGGGGGGGTGGTGGTGGTAAAACAATGATGGTAAAAAATAAATAAGTTGATACATTTTCGAAGTCATCATTATCTACTTAAGTGTCTCCAGTCACCGTTCATGTAAAACACGCAACACGTGCTCTTGTTGTCTATAACATTAAGTGAGAATTATGTACACCTTATTTAGTAGGCACGACATGTTAGCTGTAGCGGCGGTACAGAAGTAGGTATAATGTCAATATTTACACCTTCCTTTGTTGATGATTGTATCTGAAATAAAATATTATATGAAACAAATGTTACAACTGGAGCATTGAAACCAGATCGGTTTTACTTCGATAATTTTCGATGACTGCCTTTTGTATACCTGTGTGTACCTGTGTAACGGGTTAATTAGAAACATGTCGGTGAAACACCTGTTGTTAACATAGTTATTTATATATAATCATGTACCTTAACTGAGCAGATATTTACTCCTGAACAAAGTCAATATGACCTCCACATTGATATGATTTTGGTGCTGGCCGAGTGCAAATACGATTGTCTGGAGGGGCTGATCAGTAGGTTGTCAACGTTAGTGACAACAGAGACTGTCTGGAGAGACTGACCAGTAGGTTGTCTACTCAGTGACAACATAGACTGTCTGGAGAGACTGACCAGTAGGTTGTCTATGTAAGTGACAACAAAGACTGTCTGGAGAGACTGACCAGTAGGTTGTCTACGTCAGTGACAACAAAGACTCTCTGAAGAGACGGACCAAGAAGTGGTAGTTATTTCTGTAACCTTCTCTAGAAATGGTCTGTACGAGGTGACCGCTACAATAACTTATGGTAGGGACATAATTCTGATATCAGTTATGCACAATAGACACTTTGAACATGTCAATGACTTGTCAGTTCTAGTGGTCACTTCTGTATGACCTAAAGACACACATTAAAGCGGTCAACAGGTGGTCATTGCCTATCAACCCAGTGGTCAATCATGTGTGATACGTGAAAGTGATAACTCAGTTAATGGTCAGCACCTCTCTACCTAGTGGTCAATCGTGTGTGATACGTGAAAGTGATAACTCAGTTAATGGTCAGCACCTCTCTACCTAGTGGTCAATCGTGTGTGATACGTGAAAGTGATAACTCAGTTAATGGTCAGCACCTATCTACCTAGTGGTCAATCGTGTGTGATACGTGAAAGTGATAACTCAGGTATTGGTCAGTACCTCTCAATCCTGTGTGGTAACCTGATGGCCGTCAGAGGAATACTTTGTTTTGACCATGTGAATGCGGTCAGTTACAGACCGGCTTCTCTTCAACTAATGTCAGTTTTATTTGTGGAAGTGTACGGTACGTCTGTTGGCTTTATGTCAACTGTGTCATGAAAGTCACTTTTGTCGTTATTAGTAAAATGTTATTGATACACTACTGGCAGTAGTTCAAGATAGTGGTTCAAGTACCTCGACTCAAGCTTTCTACCATATGACAAGACTGTTTGGGATCGTTGATTTAAAGGGATCATCATACAATACAGTTAATGGTTGACATTTCAATAGTCATATTTTATTAAGATAAATAGGCGACTTTTCAGTGACTGCTATTCAGTAGTTAGACCCGGTCCAACGAGTTTCAATACGGGAAGAAAAACTTGTCAATACACAAAATCGAAGCTCTAACGATACCCGTTTACCGTGTGTTTCTTAATGACTGACAGTATAACACTGAACCTTAGAGTAAGACCTCGCCGGTTAAATGCCTCGTACTGAAAAATACATTCATATCTTAAACATTTACTGTTTAACGCCTACCCACTTAGTCTATATCATAGGACTTCGTAAGCGATACACAACACAGCTTAGGCTTGTATCCTCACAAACCTACTCACTTAGTCTATATTATAGGACACACAACGCAGCTTAGACTTGTATCCTCACAAACCTACCCACTTAGTCTATATTATAGGACCCTGTAAGCGATACACAACACAGCTTAGGCTTGTATCCTCACAAACCTACTCACTTAGTCTATATTATAGGACACACAACACAGCTTAGGCTTGTATCCTCACAAACCTACCCACTTAGTCTATATCATAGGACACACAACGCAGCTTAGACTTGTATCCTCACAAACCTACCCACTTAGTCTATATTATAGGACCCTGTAAGCGATACACAACACAGCTTAGGCTTGTATCCTCACAAACCTACCCACTTAGTCTATATTATAGGACCCTGTAAGCGATACACAACACAGCTTAGACTTGTACCCTCACAAACCTACCCACTTAGTCTATATTATAGGACCCTGTAAGCGATACACAACACAGCTTAGACTTGTACCCTCACAACCCTACCCACTTAGTCTATATCATAGGACACACAACTCAGCTCAGACTTGTACCCTCACAAACCTACCCACTTAGTCTATATTATAGGACCCTGTAAGCGATACACAACACAGCTTAGACTTGTATCCTCACAACCCTACCCACTTAGTCTATATTATAGGACACACAACTCAGCTTAGGCTTGTACACTCACAAACCTACCCACTTAGTCTATATTATAGGACACACAACTCAGCTTAGACTTGTATCCTCACAAGCCCACCCACTTAGTCTATATTATAAGACACACAACTCAGCTCAGACTTGTATCCTCACAAACCTACCCACTTAGTCTATATTATAAGACACACAACTCAGCTCAGACTTGTATCCTCACAAACCTACCCACTTAGTCTATATTATAGGACACACAACTCAGCTCAGACTTGTACACTCACAAACCTACCCACTTAGTCTATATTATAGGACACACAACACAGCTTAGGCTTGTATCCTCACAAACCTACCCACTTAGTCTATATTATAGGACACACAACACAGCTTAGGCTTGTATCCTCACAAACCTACCCACTTAGTCTATATTATAGGACACACAACTCAGCTCAGACTTGTATCCTCACAAACCTACCCACTTAGGCTATATTATAGGACACACAACACAGCTTACGACACTCTGCTTATGATGCCATTGAGTCATGACGTCATAACTAAAACCATGAAAACTTTCAGCCAACCACAAATCCGTAAGGTCATGTGACACATGTGTAATAACCAAAAATGTATGTGATGAGTTATATTACATTGACAACAGGGTCGTTATGTGGGACGTTTGAGTTACATTTCTTCCTTATCCCTGGCTTTCTATCAACTCAGGACAATGTTATACAACCAAACCGAAGTAAGCGTTAAGGAGAGTGTGTCACGTGACATACGGACTGATGTAGGTGATACCAATGCGTTCTTTTATGAATACTTTATTGATCGATTTAGTTTTTATAATCATAGAATGTGCAGATCGATAAAGATCAGGTCTGAATTTGTAGAGGCTTTATATATTTACTTAGTAGGTAAACTTCAAGTGGTCTCAAATCCCACCAAGGTCGGAGTACGCAAATGTCTGTCGAAATGATCATTTTTGAACGTACAAACGTTTAAGGTTATGGTACGATACAAACTCTCGAAAAGGTACATATAGGTGTATGTTACATACTATTAATGGCGTACGCTTAAATAAAAACCGCTCAGCTTGTATGTTAAGCCTTGATTATATATGTTAATGGTACAATATACTGTTATGTATGGTTTAGTGTTTAGTAGTAACTATTCAGGGGATGCTTGCTACTTACAAACCGTA